AACTCTATTAACCTCGCCGAGCTGCATGTCCTGGCAGCCCTGGGTTTCCTGCACAAATCTCCCGCAACTAAACGATGGGGCACATGCGTTTTCCGCCCAAAGATATTTACTGGAAAGTTACAATCTGTAGAATCAAAACCATAGGGGTGCTCGTTCATTAAGTAGCCGGAGATGTTTTTCCAAGATCTGCAATTGACTGATCAGAAAGACTAAACCCTAAACCCACCCAAAATTTTGACAATAAAAGATGAGAATGAGATTCAAAAATGGGCATTTCAGGTACGGTTGATGTTTCCACGGGATTTGCACCGTCCGATTGCACTAAGCCCAGTATGATGCTTGAATCTCCTTCCAAGGCAATTTTTAGAATTTCTAGAATTGCGGTTTGTGACTACCAGTCTCTTTGCAGTTGGACATGGAGGATACTGCGGAGTGCTGGCTCTGTCGCTAGTTGTGGTTCTTTTCGTTGAAAGCCTTCTTCATTTTACTAAAAATTGCATTTGCTTGATCAGAAGCCTGCACACCAAAGCAGAATAAGTATCTAAACATTCAACAGAGTGTCATAAATTATACACATGTTGCTAAATAGATCAGAAGCAAAAGAATCAGAAGAAAAAGGGAATTTGATTTGGATCTAGGCAGAAGTTCGATTTGCCCATGTGGGGTTACGCACCCTCGGAGACACCGAGTTACCATTCCAAATACCAAATACCGCGAACAAGTACACTTCTACAGAAACTAGGCTGATGTTTGTAAGCTTGCGCAGTTTATATCTGAATGCGTCCGATTTGTGCTCCTCCTCTCTTATACAAGCAAACATGGTGGGCTCTCAGCTTTGGGCTGTTCTGAAATCTAAATGGAATCGCCAACATGGATCTGGAGAAAATCATTTCTAATAGGGTACTGGTGACAGTACAGAAATTAGCGAGATGAGGATGTTATGCACCTGTTTCAGAACCGTCCCTGTCACTTGGCTATGCTTGCCACCGTCAGAAAGGAAACTCTTTGCCTTGATCGGTGCCGTCGATTCAACTGCATTCTCTTCGATCTGATTACATTCAGTTGTGCTTCCAGCAGCGCATACTTCGGCCGGCTCAGCTGCAGTTCTAGGTTCCTCCTCAACATTAGTTTTATCTTGCGACATGCTTTCAAACGCTTATTCGATACAAGTCGAGGCGATCAAGAACTGCTGTGAAATGATGTCCAGCAGAATTCAAAAAAACACTCGAACTGATTGCTTGTCGGAAGTTTTTGCATTGTCTCAGTGCTTTGAAGAGCATCCAGCTTTTATGAGACAGAGCTCTTGGTTTAGTCTAGTACGGGAACACGCCAGGGAACACTTTTCTATGGCAGGTCACGGATCAGTGGTATATCAACATCTGTCATTTCTACATTCGCAGACGTCGACGGACAATGGAACGCACCTCGCTGTCAGTTCAGCTCTGGTGATGAAGAGATCATGACTCATTGCACAGAACTATCTGCTACGATGGTTACTTGTCATACCTACGCAATATCTTGTAGACAAAGATTTTCAGACTGTGAACCAGTGAAAAAGCATCTACTTTCATTCATTAACAGTGGGCTCCATTCCACAAGTAGTATTTTGGTTTGGGATAACGTGAAACTAAGAGTCGATGAATCTAATCTTTCCCAATGGTACAGTCAAAAGATGCATGGTCTGACAGCGGGAAAGGTCCTGGAGCTGTAGTCAATATAATGCAATCCTAGTCTGTAGCCCTCAAAGTACACGCAGGATTCTTACAACTAATTGCCAAAGGCTTATTAGTTGAACTCATTAGTATTCCCGTAGCATCGATGTCCGAAGTCTATGGTCTGGAGTCTATCCACATCGCTCAGATGAATCCTGATATCATCCACTTTCTAGAGGTAGTCAACTTATCAATACTTAGTATAGCTGAGTATATTATACATTTTCCAAAGCTAAGCATTACTCATTATGGAGGTTGCGCTAAAACATGATTCTCCACCGCAGCATTTACTTTTGATTTGATAAAAGAAGAGCATGCTTCGACGCACTGGTCACGTAGGTACCAGATAGATTTCAATCCATATCCGTTGCCAGGAATTTTTCTTAACGTGATTTCATCTGCCACGAACGCAATTGCAACAACCATTTCACACAAACATTAGCAAATTGTAGCGCATCAAAGGTTTGATACTAAGGGAATCTAAGAATAATGTCCCACCGAGTGGTGAAATTGTGAGTTATGCTTCTTTTAATTTTATGGAACGTCGCCTTCTGAATGTACGAACAAATACAAATACGCCAATTTCAAGGCAACATTCTACCAATCTCATATGCAATAAACCCATGAGGTAAAATTTAATTAATTGCTAGCGGACGATAATATCAAATTTATAACAGATAATATAACGTACCTTCTTGATCACAACAAAAGAAATATTAGTGTTGAGTCCTACTATTGCATGTTCCGCGACATCAACTCAACTAGTTTTGTGAGAAAGCAATTTCAAAATCTATCCCGACTATATTGACTAACTCTTGCAATAGCAAAAATATGTGATGATATCTAGTACTACTCTTATATGTAGATCAAAATTGCTACACAATTTTTTTATAGCTAAATCTTGGGATGGTTTTATTGTCGTGTAATCATGTTTCTATATGCTGTGCAAATTTAGCTATTATGGCATAAATTTTTTGCATATTGCGGTCAGTGTGTTGCTTTTGAATCCACATAGTTTCATGAATCTTTCAAATTACAATAGTGTATAATTTATGTTTTTATGCATTTTGTATCGTAGGAAAATGTCACATCTTTCAGGGATTCCAACTGCTTTATCTTTACCATATGACTTGGCAAAAAGCTCGTGTGCACCCATCACTCTGCACTTTAAGGTTCACTCGTGACCTTTCCTTACCATTAAATTGGAGAGACTGGTATATCTGTCTGCCAAAATTATGCTTTAGCATCACAAAGTTCAAACAAATCTTCTTCTCCAAATTATTTGTTTGGATCTTTTTCTCTTCTGCCTCATGCTTCTCCAAGCATGTTGCTATAGCTCGATCGATTCTTGAAGAGTATTGGTCTTGCTCCCCGCTTCGTATACTAAATCCAACGCCGGAGGAATCTTCGAACATCAATTCTTTTGAGATTTCTTCGTTAAGATATGATTGGTACAAAATTCATGATAAATTTTGTTTATCAATTATTTGTCTCTCAAAATTACGCTTTAGCTTCTCAAATTCACGCAAGTTTTCTTCTCCCATATTTTTAAATTGGATCTTTTTCTCTTTCGCCGCCTAATGCTTCTCCAAGCATACTACTACAGCTCAATCGATCCTTGGAGAATGTTGATCTTGCTCCTTACTTGGTGTACCTCAATCTATCTCGGGACTATTTTTTATATATCCATTGTTTTGAAGTTTCACGTTAAAATATAATTCATATACAATGCATTGAATTTTGTTAAGGCTAGTATTTTCATATAGATTATCTTATGGAGTAGCTGCAAGAAGTAGAAAATCACTTTGTACAAATAGTTTGTAGTCGAGACTTTTCATCTTTTGGCCATACGTTGTGAGCTTGTCATGACCGAGCCTGAAAGACGCCATCTTCTCGAACCGCAAGCCCGGTTCACTCAAAGAATATTAACCTTTACCGTCGCAGTGACATCTCGTGCGCACGTGCGTGATGGGCCCAGACTTCTAGCACGGTGCAAGAGGAGCGACCCTGAGTACTGTACTCCAATCGCTGCTCATGCGCAGATTATCAGCAGCCGGCACAATCGCAGGAAAATTGTGCAAAGAGGAATAAGGAGGCAGTTATGCGAACAAGTTATGTATATGAGAATGAAGGGTGAGAAGTGGATTCTGGTTTCAAGGGGATTTGTAGAGCATGTGCAAAGGGGATGTCTCTCGAGAACGAAATCTATCGTGGGTTCGAACAGAATGAGGCAGTTGATATGCAAGCTGACAGCTCTGCAGCTGAATCTGAACTCCAGCTGAAGCCAAGACTAGTTCGTAGCAAAGATATTGGTATCTGGACGCTAAATGTTATGGAATTCTTCGAAGTGCAAAAGCTTCAGATGTGAAGTACTCTGAGATGTGAAAGACTGGATTTATAAGTGGAGTGGGAGAATGCAAATCTAGCTGCATCAAGAATCTCGTGTGGACAGACCTTAAAACGGGTACTACTGGGTAAAAACACACAGATGTTCCTCCATACTCGGTGGATTGCCAAATTGTCTTAGAAGGTGGGACTAGATCTTGACTTTGTTGTTCAATCGAACAGGGTACGTGAGTGAATGCTTCAGTGCGAGAATACAGTCGAAGTCGTCACGCGACTTTAAACTCTATCTTCATGGAATCTTTGATCTATTCAAGCAGCAAGTGGATGTATCTGACAACTGAGTGGCAGATGCGTAGTCAGCTCGGATGCCAAAGCATTTTTCTTGCTTTGATGATCTGTAGTAGTCTACATAACTCTACAGTACTCGTGGATTCAGACCGAACTGATCAGCTTTTTGGGAGTTTACCAAAGACAATGTCGAAGAATTGTGTGCAGAGAATGTGAATATTTGAGGTTCCCGATTGCTGGTATGATGGTTCTTCTAGCTCAACTGTGATGGGAGAAAGTTGAAAGCTTTTCACTTCCATTCAACTTTCGGAATTTCACTCTCAGCTTCCTCCGCTAGTCTCTCGCCCGGAGCTTCCTCTGCTAGTCTCTCGCCCGGAGCCCCTAGCGCTTGTACTACACCTTCATTCTTGGAGATGCTTTCTTACGCTTTGTCCTTATGTTACAAATAATGACGTGATTATGAACGTTATAAAGACGTGATATCATACCACCATCACCACTACGTTGACTCCATTGTATGTAAATTACAAGCAAATATTATACACCACAATTGATCTTGATCATTTAGATCATAAAGCTTTTTTCTGTTCATAATCTAATCACTTAGAGCAAAAAATTAATTGTATCATGTAATACATCAATTTGATAAGATCTTCGTATTGACACAAATCAACATTAACTAGTGTGACCCTTTTCTCTCTCTTTTAAGAATCATCGCGTCTACGAGCTGAAATTGAGTCTTAAAATAACTGTGGCGCCATCGGAATCAATGGTGTCTCATTATTCCTTGTAACCTCAATCCAATGACCCTATCCACAACATTGCATATCAATAATCGGGATGGTAGCTCCATCCAACTGGTTATATATATACATATATATGTAACCAGAGAATCAATTATATATGTCTAGAAATCTCTAGAAGTAAGTATATATATATATATATATATATCTATCATGAGTGAAAATTTCATCTCTTTATCTCTAAAGATCTCGAATTTCGATTTCGAACATCCGCAGACGTTATTCTGACATCTTGAACACAATTCTCGAACAGCCTCCAAATTCGATGGCGGGTCGGACTTCGAAGGTTGCATTGGCCGCATACACGTATGACAACTGGATCTAGGACGCGGTCACTAAATCCATAAAACACAACAGACCTTCATCTTGGTAATAAAACACTGTTCTTCGCCTCCAATCCTTTCACGAAAGCGCCATCTCCAGAGAGATTTCTACTTCTATATGTTGATTTTTCTAGTCAGACGATTGTTTCCTCACTCCTTGCACGTGCTCCGACTTATAGAAAGGGCTTCTGATATCTGCAATCTATGTTTTCTCCTGGGTGGACGGCCAAACGCTCACAAAAAAATTTATACTTCTCCACACGAGCATGAGCTGAATCTCTTTCAACATAATCAATTCTATTGATTATGTTGATCGTCAGTCCAAAACCTGGCAGCCTGCTGGCCTCGACATCCGTAGATGTTGGAGTCCATTTTCCAGTCATGACAGAATGGCAGGATGGCTTGTTCCACTGGGGCGTACACCAGAACCAGAGAGCTGATTTGAATGCAATAACGGGATCTTGTGATATCTTTTCAGGAAAGGACAAGAGGCTGTCATCACCTATACCTTCGCCGCACAGTTTATAGGTGTGGTTCCTGAAAATCAAGAAATATGTCTCAACTTGATCAGAGCCAGCTGCATTTCGGCATCGATGCATGCGACAAGCTAGTTCTTCACAACATTACACTCTGATTTGCACGTACATTTCACAGCAGGCCATATATGAATAATTCCTAGACAATTTGACACGCTAGCTTCATCCCACAAATCTCAAAAAACGCGAATTGGTAAAACTTTACCCGCACAGCTGCAATGGCCCTCGACCGTGATAGCTTTTGCATGGATGACAAGGACCCTCTGGACAGTGTGTGCTTGGCGGGCAACATTGCTCCTTGTGTCGCAGTCCTGTGTCGCCCAAATCAAGGTGTGTCCACATTGAAACTGGTTAGCAGAAGTCGAGGACATTTCTGATATTTCAGATGTTTGTTCACCAATGGTATTGTGACTAGTTTCAATATCTCTTCAGTTGCAAAAAAATCCGAACATGGAAAAGATTTTTTCAGATGAGGATACTGCAATAGGTTACTAAGAAAAATAAAAACAGCGCGACCAAATGCATCACTTCAATCACTTACCACAGCTTTCATGGTCAAAATGGGCAAGAAGAGCTGCGATCTCCCTTTTCTGGTCATCCTCGGATACATCGACACCAAATCCTTGTGGGACAAATGTCACAGCAGCCTCAATGAAGGCCGCGTATTCGTAGAAAGGGTTTTTCTTAGGAAATAATTTCAAGAACAGCTTCCGGGGAAGAATTGCCTTGAAATTTTCAGCTGTCGGATCAAAGTTGGGCATGGAGTTGCGACTAGGCTTTCTACTATTCGTCAGGATAGAATCCAACCAATCTTCCATGCATTGATAATTAACGTTTGCTGTTGACTGATGTTTGCAGACATTAAAATGGTCGCCAACTCCATACCGGAACAATTCGCAGTCGAATCTGGCCGTTCCCTCTGTAACAAAGGTTCCTGATCTTTGCAAACTGCCAGGCTGCATCGCAATAGAGCGATTATATAGACTTAGTTACTACATAAGACAAGACGGCTCAGCAGACTTTTGAATCATAATAGAGTACGCAGTGACATGAGCAACAGAACAGAAGTCAAGCACATTGCAGTAATCCCCAGCTTTATAGTCTCTCCATCATGTCCACATGTCAATCTGCAGCTCATGCTCTCACCAATAATAAAGGACTGATATAGAAGCTGAATTCTCCTTTCCTCTCAGAAGACCATCATAAACTGAAAAAGAGTTGAAAATAAACTGCAAACCTCTGCAACCCGAAACATCTCATGCGAATTGACATCTCAACTACCACTTTCAACCGTGATCGCAAGAAAGACTCACCTTTCTTGATGATGTTTGATGTGACTCGCAGATAGTCAAAACCGTCCACAAAAACCTCGATTTTCGCCTCTCCTTCATACGGCGTCGAAGGCTTGCGAAAGCTTCATTGAGTCGACTGAGTTCTGCGCTGTGTGGTCTTAAGCAGTCCGTCAGTGTATTACTTTGACCAGACTCATTGGCATACAGATCCCATTTGACTCCGGAGTTGAAAGGAGAATAGAACACAAAGCCGCCTACGTTTTCCAAAAATTTCCTCCTTTTTTCTTCGTTCTCCGCAAATTGTTCACTCGCTTTGATCATCAGATTCTTAATGACGAAGCATCCCAGACCATGCCCGACGAACAAAACTGGGCAGTTGGATGTCAACCCAACCTTGCTTCTTGGAAGGAAAAAGTTGACCATCAGATTTTCTGTAATGATGAATAAGGAATTCATTCGGCCCTGGGTACTATTCGTAATCACACAAGCATCATAAGACACCGATAATATACGAGCTCTTGGGAACTTTTTTCCCAAGAATTCTCTCGGCCAGCATGTGCCATCGTCGTTGGTCCATGTCGTCCTCCACGCATCTCTAGAGCCTTGGGTATATAGGTCGTGCACAAATATTATCTCCATGTCGTAAGGTCCATACGATGGTTCATACAGCACAAACAGTTCGTCATTGATGCGATTGGCGAACATAGATGCCGTCTCAGTTGCAAGTGCGTCGGAAACCTTTTCTTCTGGAACCTGTGCCTTCGACAAACGTGAAGATTAAACTCAATGTCATAGCACATTTAAGAAACATGACGAACAAAATTAAATATTCATTGTGGCTCTAGAATCGACCGAGCATGAAGAGCCTCGGTCCACTACGCCGCTTGTGGCGCAGAATGTGAAAACCGGCCGCAACTGGAATGTGTCTTCAGATGTAAGATCTTGTGGAAAGTTCGTTACAGTTCATATGACAGCAGATGCAGGAGAAGGATGAAGAATTCACCTCATTTAAACCGTCAGTCTTCAAACTCCCATCTGAACTCCTGACGCCTGTAATCACGTTCATGTAACCGCTGTTCTGTACCATCGAGATGTCGCTGAGAATGAGTCTATGGTGTCTGCGATCCTTCTGCTCTCTGATTCCATTGCACTGCTTCTGGTATTATCTTCCAGACTTAATAGTGGTCGTTCCTCTCATGAGCAGTACATCGTCCCTTTTCAGCATGGGGCTGACATTGTCGTCGATACTAAATGCACGTACAGTGAGCTCGACATTGTCCACTTGTACATCCATAGAGAACGAAACGAGAGGCGCATCAAAGAAAGGCCTGCGCCGTCGTCTTGTAATCACTCGTTCGACGACATTGTCCAGTTGTACATCCACTTGTTTCTCTCGATACTGCAAATCTGGCCCCACAAATTGACCAAGAGCCGGAGTTAAGAGTGATGGCTCAGTCGATCGATGGCTTCACGGAGCTTGACTTTATGGCACTGGTGTCAGTGAAGGCCCTCAAATATTTGTCGTGAGTAAGCCGGGACTCAGATGTCTGATACTTTCAACTCCTATTAGTGACGATACTTCCGTGTACAGTGAGATTAGCCCTCAATTCTGCAAGAGTTTGAATTATACAATAAAACTAATTTAACATATGTGCGACCTGTGTCGGAATCTACCCCACTAGAAAAGAAAACTGGCAACAAGCAATGTAAAAATCAGTCCTACATCATGTACTAGATGATCACCTTATAATTATAATTATGTCTCTTGAAGAGAGGCTTCCACCCAAGAAATAAAGATCACTTGAAAGGTTTTATAATTTTATTACTGAAAATTTGATTCTATATATTGTACGGAAAATTTAATGATATGAAGATTATTTTTTAAAAGAATCACAACCTTGTATTAAGAGAGAAGTCAAATGAACATCTTTTGTAAATCCGTATTGAAACCAACTTTACGGATTTGCTAATAAGATCTTTGAATGAATTATCAAATTTGGTGTTTTCAAGGTAAATGAATCCAAATTCTCTGAGTAAAATATGATATCTAAAGTCGTGATGGAGATAATTCAATGATTGATAAAGACTGGAAAGAATCTAAAATTTCAAGCATTATGGGTTTCAAGTGGACTAAATTAACAATGATATATTGAAATTTATAATGATGATTGAAAGCGTTGAAAGTATGGAATTAAAATAATCATAATAATCAGAATTTTCTTGAACATTTTTTATGAGATATCATCACAACTCAATCAAAAAAAAAATTCAAAATTATTTTATTTTATTTCAAGAAATGATAATGAAACTCTCTGAGTCGACACTTCATTTGATCAACTATAATGAAAAAAAATATTTTTTGAAAATTCTGTAGAATGAATTTCTTGTTATTTCACTAATGAAAATAGATTAGAATGGTAATAAAGAATGATTGAATAGAAATAAATTTTCTTCAATATGTGAGTGAAGCAAAAAAAAATTTCAATCAAGAAAATATCTTAAACACAATCAAACCAATCAAAAAAATTAGCAATCATATCTATCATAATAGTAAAGAGATATAATTTCTTCAAAATACTGCTGTATTTTATTTGTTATGGAGGTAAGTGAGTCAAGAGTTACGAAATTGCAAGTTCACATGGGATTTTACCTTCGATTTTATCGTGTCCAAATTATTTTCTTGAATTTTGAACTTTCTTCAACTTGAAATCAACTTGAACACTCGATCAAGTTTGTTATAAGTTATGTCGCTGAGACTTGTTCCGGTGATCAAGGCTTTCCAACATTAAACTCCAAGAGGTCGAAATGGAAGGAACTGGTGAAACTTTTGAGCACGCAATTTTCATTTTATGCTCACTAAATATTTAGAGGCCAGTAGCTTATTGCTAATTCACTTCTAGAGAAGGTCAACCAACTATATTCACTAGATACCCTTCTAGAATTACAGGTTCGGAATGGCACTCTGAGATTGAAAAAACTTTCTTTGATGCATCTTTCTGTCGAGCACAGTAAGACCTGGAATCGATGTTCGTTCACTGTTTCAAGGATGAGACTAAATCGACGCCTAAAAGTCAACCTGGGTCCCACATATATTTGGCCTCGGGAGTTGCCCGGGACGGGTTTCCCTAGACCTTACGCGTTATCTGCGCCTAGAGTATTTTCTCTAGAACCTCGATTCCAGTTTTGAGTAAGGAAAAAATACTACGTTAATCTGAGCACGTAAATACATAGCTTCGAGAATATTGAACAAAAATCTCCTCGGCATTGTACAAAGCTTGAAGACTGCATATTGTCTTTCTCGTGGAAAGCAGATTAAAGACGAGAAATGTAACTAGACTGGTATTCTGTCCATAAACTTTACAGGATCACGAAAAGAATCCGATAACGCTTTCCAACGATACGACCAGAAACTACTATAGTACATGCATAGAAAAAGCTTCTGAGATTGGGAATCCACCATCGAACACTTATTGCCAAAAAATTAGTCTATCTACACACTTTTTCCCTAATACATGCGGTAATAACTTTATTTAATGGATATTCTGGAATTCATTTTCTTTTTGTAGATTTATAACATTGGACGTGAATTTATAGAACATGCAAAAGTGAAAAATGCGAATAGAAAGCTTCAACTCATTCATAAGAATGAATGTTGCTTGAGGTCGCTCGTTGTGAAGACACATTGCACACAGAATGATCACTTTCTACAATATAAATTTCGATAAGGAAATTAAAAATTATTGTCTTCAACCCTAATGAATAATTTGATAGATTTAAAAATCTTATGAATGATTTGATTTCCCGATTTGAAAAAGGCCATGAAGTGGGTTTGTCACAAATTTGTGATAATATTCATATTTTTCATATATCCTATATAAATAACGGATATATGAAGCACTTTTTATAAAAAGATTGATTTAAAGCTCTCTTATTAATTTTTCTTGCTCATTCTTGATAGCATAATGCATTTGAGAAAAAAAATCATCCTGAATTCAATCTTTATTGATAATGAGTAAAGAATCTATAAATTCACGTTTTTTATCTTGGTATAGTCAAATCCATATTTTCGAGTGAATATTAAAATTATATTTCAGAATCTTCCGGCTTATATTTCAAACCTTCCAAATTCGAGGAGGCTTATAATATCTTCTTCTTTCTGGAAGCTGCTTGAAGACAGCTATGAACATAAACTGATTGAAGTGGGATTCTTCAACATCAGCAAAGAAGAAATAAAACTTTCTGCTTAATCTCTAGATCATATACTTCAAATGTATGATCAGGTACATTAACCTGGAAATGGACGTGATATGGTGAATCCAATGCATAACCACTGTAATTGATAGAGAGGAAAAAGCAATTATCATCGCAAAAATCACTAGAAATTAACATTTCGAAAGCTTCAAATATGCATTACTCAGTTATTTATTTAAGAATCATTTGCATTATCTGCGTCAGTGTGAGCCAAAACTCCCCACCCTTCAGCGTTTGTAATCCAGGTGGGGGTTCGAGCTTCCATAATTCAACTTCTCTGATCTCAAGCCATGTGCTCAAAGTGTATTCAAGACAATGAGATCATAAATACTCGCTTTTCCACAGACAAATTGTCCAGAACTAACACTAACAACTTGTTGTTTGCTATTTTTGCAAGAGCAGCAGACAAGCTCTTCGGAACATAGAGATCTAACCCAACTCTGGGTGACTTCCTCAATACTACAGCCACTGTGGGCCTCTTCTAGAATGAGTACCACATCTCGGACACACTGCCTCGGACTAAGTCAGGTGACACACCAGCAGCCCAAGGTGACACCCTTCCTAACAGCAATCTTCACAGCTAGGGAACACGATTCTACTTTCAACACTTTGCTCGATTTTTCCTCTTAGTGATCAACTCACTCTCAGCTCAGCGATACTCTCGGCCCTCACACACACTCTTCCGCTCAGCCCTTCGACAACACTCTCAGCAACTCCACGCTTTCAATGCCCTCGCTCTCAGGGATTCCCCCCTCCTATTAGATTCCACCCACAATTTCGAGTATCAAATTTCAGTCTCAAACCCTCAGTTTCCACCTTCGATTTCAGTCCCACTCCCAATTCCTACTCAGACTTCAGTGTTCATTTCTCAGCTTCCTCCTTCAGACCCCACCAGATTTCTCTCTCAGATTTAACTCTTCCATTTCAGTTTCAAATTCAGATCTTGACTATCAGATTTTAGTCTCGGATTTCACTTCAAATTCAGCTCCCACTCTCAGATATTTCACTTTGATTTCAGCTTCCAATCACAGATTCGAAACTTCGATCTCAAACCCCGATTAAATTTCACTCCCAAGTTCGACTTTCCACCCTCGAGAATTCACTCCCTCCTCCTTCAAATTCTCAACACTCCTCTCCTAATTCTCACCACTTCCCTGCGAAAATCACTCACATCCACCCTCTATCCCTGCAATCGATCCCACCTGCGTCCACACACACAGGCACACCAGATCTTTGTTCTCAGGCCGAATAATGCCTCTCCAACGTCCAAGGGCCGAGGTGCCCACAGGCCGCTTGAATGTCGTTCTCGTAATGATGGGTAACGGTCTGCTTCCCATGCGCGACTTCATGCCCCGCCGTACTTCTTCCCACGCTTGACTTCACGCCGCCGCCGCTGCCACACTTGTACATTCTACATTCATGGCCACTCTGACTTCCGCCGGAGGAAATCCTATTCCGCGCACTGCCGAAGTCATCCTACCGCCGAAGGCCCTTGCACCGAACGCACCCTACTTCCGAAGACACTCTTCCGCACCTTTGCCTATCGTTAACAGTCACTTCCGACACTCATAACTCACTGATCTCTGATCTGTTTGAAACGTTCTTGGGCTCGTTGGAACGAGCGTGTCGGGCTTTTTTCAACAAGATCCTAACTAAGTCAAACCATTACGAATTGAAAAAGTTATAACGGTTTTACCCATTGCCGAAGGCCCTATCGCCAAAGACCATGTTATCGCCGAAGGCTTGTTAACGCCGAAGGCCCTCTTCCGCCAAAGACATTTTCGACACTCATAACTTATTGATGCCTTATCTTTTTCAAGAGTTTTTGGTCTTGTTGGAACCAGCGTCTCGAGCTGTTTCCAACAAGACCCTAAATGAGTAAAGGCGTTACAAATTGAGAACGTTATGAGGATTTTACTTTTCTGCCGAAGGCCCCCTTCCGCCGAAGACCTGCTACCGCCGAAGACCCTTTTCCGCATCTTTGACTACTAGCCATCACACCAACTACTAATCTTGCCAAAACTTTAAACAACTCCAAGCATAATTTTGCAAGAGCTTAAATCCAAAATTTTAACTCTCATAAGGTTAAAAAGACATGGGAGCACATTTTTGTGCTCACAGTCACCTGGTTTAATATATTCTTTGTGTCAGATTTAACCGATCATTTGCATTATTTATGAAATTGTTTTCAAAGATGGTTTGCAATAAAGTCTAAAGGTTCTCTTGCCTCGTACAATAACACAGAAACATGAAGTTGTGTATCAATAAATTTATCTCCAAGACATTGCATGTAATGATGAATTACAATGAGCTACTTTTGAATACGTGTTTATTGTTCATGCACATGTATTCCGAACTTAGTTTGTTGATCAATAATATTCTGAATTTTTTTGGGAAGATTCTACAACAAAAATTCTGGAATTTGAAAAGACATTACTAAATTTTATTGCTACTCATCATATTTCGCTGATTTAAATTTTCTTCTAATTATGTGCATTATGATTTTTCTTTTATATAATTGATCCGATTATTATTTTTCAAGTTTTTCCTGGCCTTTTACATAACAAGTATGAATAGCACATTCCTACTGTGTTGTAAACACACAAGGATAAAGTGTTGATCCTAGATAGACAAATTTTACTTTACGAAAATTGCAATATAAAATACTTCAACATCTTTCCACTTTAGAACGTAAACTAATAGTGTGTATTGAATATTGCAGTACGTGATGGATAGATTTTACCACAAAATCCATTTTATTCAAGGAGAAAAGAATAGAATCAAATGTTCAATTCTTTGACTACTTCTCATAAACCTCGGTCGGACTAAAAAAGTCAAAAATGCAAAACATTACTTGTGCAAAAATCGATTGTCGTTTGACAACGTGAAGTTTGTAGAAAGCAGATCAGCCTCGCCAGAGGCTGATCTGCTTAGAATTCATAAGCATCCAAATATAGCAAAGCATCCCATGTTTTGCTATATTTGGATGCTTATGAATTCTTTATATCTGATGTCACCATAGAGTTCCTTATACTGAGGGCGTTCAGTATGGACGTTATATTTTTAGCTATCATAATGTTCGTCAGTTGAACGTGTATACTGAAGACTAATATTTCTATAAATCATATCCACCACAAACGTTTTTTATTTCAATTTTAGCTATTATCCAAGATAAAGGAAAACAAGACGAAAAGTCAAACTATTAGAAGCGACAGCACGCGATCGGAGGAGAATCCAAGATTCACTGAAGGGACTCAGTTGAACTACACCTCACAAGAATAAGACTGTCTTGGGAAAACCCATCCGCATGAATTGAACCATAAAAATGGTGGCCGTAATCAAGTTAGTCTTGACATCCATGTGAGTCTACAAAGAGAGATCAACAAGAACACGGTTTCACGGAAGCCTCATGGCAGCTGCCTAATATTGTTCAGCAAAATGAACGCAGTTATTAAATTGTCATTCTTGTCTTCTGAGTCCAGAGATCATCAGAATAATCTAGCACGTCCCAGTGTCAAAGATTTCTCAGACAGCGGACTTCGAATTTCAACAACTTTTGATGATATCATAAGCCATGAACCACATTTTAACTACAGCAAAAGAATATATTGGTACAGGATTCAACTTCACGTACGTAAATAGCATGTGATTCTTCAGTCAAGGGACTCGTCTTAGACAGGCTTGGTTACAGAAAAGTCTACTCAGAGTCGATTTTGACAGTAAGGACGCATGCACTACTGTGCCCTGGAGGCAAACCATCAAAACAACCCTACAAAGTCAATATCTCTCGGCAAGGGTGATAATGAACTGACTTGCAGCATAGATCATTATCTAGGATTGCATATTTCAGGTTTTAGGTCTCAATGTTACAGCTATTTAGCTAAGACTATTTGAACTCCATAATCTGAGCGCTGCAAGCAGAAAGTCATGCAGTTGCATAGTCAATACCGATCATCCGAATATATCTTACCTTAGGCAAGTTGCCTGATTCGGATCAGATCCTGTCGTTGGATATTTCGTCACATTATAGTACATGCAGTTGACCTCATTAACGATCAAGCTTACGTCCATGTCAATGGGCTTGCATGAAACTTTTTTTTGTCGGATATAAGTATTATAGAAAGCCCTATAGAGTTGTGGATTATTAATAGAAAAGAAGTGAGAAAAAATAAAAATCAAACCTTATTGATCAGCATTGAATTGAGAAAAAACAAACACAAACTGGTTATTTTTAGGATTCTAAGCTTTTAGTCCCAATCCCTATTCTGATATAAACTGAGTGAGCACACAGTCGTATCATACTTCAAGGTTATACACAAAAACGTTTTGGAGAGCAACTTTTTCGGGGATCCTCAGACTTCAGTAAACGCCAATTCAAGTCAAGTACCCTGAAATTCAAATAAATGAAATCATCTAGGATTCCTCTATTCTTTAGTAATATCTTTAGGCTGCCCGTATTATTTGGAAAAATCATTTTCTCTTCAAACAATAGCATGAACGAAAATGTTTTCGTTTTCTGCAGATCAGCAATATTTTAAATTACAAATTCCGCATATAAGACACCTCCTCAAAGAGAACAGAAAATTAAAAAAAAACGCAAACCCTTTTACGTGTCTATGCAAATCTTCTCTACTAGAAGTACACCTCCATAAAAGAGTGAAAGTACACCAAGATAAGGCCACGGAGTGGTCACGTGGTTATATATAAGTTACATTCCATCTTTCCCTCCTTGCCAGGAATGGAACCTTAGAAGAAAAAGCGGACAACGGTTGATCTCAGCATACATCTGGACATCGTCAAACACCTTGATGAGGTTCAGAGCATCTGATAAGGTCAACGTTCAAAAGGAACAACACTGACTGCTCAAGAGACCAGAGACTTGATGCTAAGGGAAACAGAAAGCAGTAGCTCCTTGTCAAAAACAACAATTGTCAAGCAACAGTATTTCCTAAAACAACGTCAACATTGTTTTATGGAATACTTCTATGATGCATTTCAATGATCGAATAAACCTACAAAGAAAAGATTGCAAGAAAGACGATTTTTCTCATTTTGGGTTGAGGTCTAGGATCGAGGTTCTCCACATGAATCCAATCTATAAGTTACAGATGGAATCTTGTTGGAGCAAATAGGGTGTACTTTTTACAAACTTTCTACTGTGTGCATTTTTACATATCATCTATGAACCATAATGATGAAATGCTTTGCATGATCTAATATGGCCATTAAGAAAAGAAAACTCTGCCTCCAAAAAATTCAATACATAGTAAAATCTATCAAATCAGTGCATTATACTTCAAGCTTCCATGATCGATTCTATCACAATCTGAACTGAAATAAGCAAGAACCTGAAAACGTGGAGATCACAGTTGGCTTGAAAAAACCTACAAGTGGGCTATAACACGATCTGCTAAATATCATGATCACAATATGTACTCACAAGAGAATGAAGATATCCGTATTTGTATTACAATGGTTAGACAGATTTCAAATTATGGGATACAAATAAAAACAGCTGAAGATGAAATAGTTTGAGCATGGGCCGACATAAAAGGCCTCTATTGAACACATCTCTGGTCTGAGTTGATAATTATCTACCATTTGGTACTCAAGTTGTGACAAATTCGCCACTCCTATCAACCGTTTCAGGAGTTTCTCATTTGACTAGAAGGTACTTAGATGAGTAGACAATAATAGTGAATTGTCTAACATATCTTCCATCACCCGCTCCTAGTATGCAATATTCATATAACCTCAATGGTTCAACACCCATGAGTGTACTTGACTTAGCAAGTTTATCAAAGTTAGCTTCATTGCCTCATCCGATAATGCCCAAAAGACGTAGTGGCGATGAAAGTTCTGGGAACAAGTCTTACATGGTGGTGGCATACTGCTTGTACTTGAAGTTCTGGAACAAGCTCTCCATGATTTCTGGATTCTGGTTAAAAAGATCATACATTTTGAGGGTAAGAGCGTCCATAGAGATAGTCTTGAACTTCCAACCGAGTACTGCTTGGACAAATTCTTCGTACTTCCCCCCTTCGTTTTGAAGCAACCCTCTAACATAATCCAGGAAGTACCGACCGCTGTCAACAGAAATATCACTGAAAGTGTCAATCAGCTCGGCTTCTTCGTCACGTTGAGCCTTCCAAGCTGGAGAATCCATTCCTGTCACCGGCTTAGCCTCCACCCTGGGCCTAAACACTTTTTCATTCTTCATGTCTTGATGGAGGCTTTCCAAAACTGCTCCACTGTCAGTCTTTGTTGAAGAACCCGCACCTGCTGCCTTGGCATTTGTGTAAATGACTTCTCTCGATCTGAGTATCATGATACGCGATTTCTTTTCTCCGTCCGTCGTGACTTCTTGAGAAGAAGAAGTAGAACCTACTGGTTCGTTCGATCTTGCAGTTGCAATCTTGACGTGAGCTGTGCACCGCTCAGAATCTAACGTATCCAGCTGGTCTCGCTATCGTCTCCTATAGAAAGATTTCAAACTCCAGCTTCCACGACTGACTGTTACTTTCAAACAATCCAACTGCACCCGATTCTTCAGTTGAGTCGTGATACAACTCTCCGTCAAGGATTCAAACGAAACAGTGAAAAGGGCTCGGCTATGCTTCCTTTCTCACATATACTTTTCATACTGAAGGTCATGAACTCACCATATTGAAACTTTTCATTCGCTTTATGACACCGGACAAAAGATACGAAAGGAATACTATTGACAACATTACACTACAAAGGTTCACAAAGGCCGAAGTAGAAGGACAGAGTTAGTCACTCTCCTGATTAATATTCACGTCGCTAACTATCTCAGTAACATGAACACTATCAGCATCTGCGGAATCTGAAGGTCTTGATAAAACTTCTCCATTCAAAGTACATTTTTTTTCAATCAAGTGTAGTAATAGTTCGGTCTCCAAAAGGCTTAGGTATTAAGTACTCCATAAATGCATCTAAAATTAGACTTTGAGATTACAATCAAGATATCAGATTCCAATATTGATCAAACTTTTATTTAAGACATCATAAAAGGATCAAGATATCAGATTTCATCATTGGTCTATTTTCTTTCTAATATATCATAAATCGGTCATCGAATTTTTGTGCTTACTACTGCATAGACATATGCATCATATGCTCAACACATTATGAAGAAAGGGTATCAAATGTGACATTTATCATCATTTAAATTACATTCATGTGTTATTTGTTCTTACTTAATTTATTCTTATAACAACATCACCGCCTTTTAAATTTGATCAAGTGGTTTGTTCTTGTTTTCCAAGTGATTTGATGCACAATTAGTCAAGATTTTTTCAAAATAAATCATCAGCATAATTTAATATCTTTCTAGAATATGAATTTTCACACACTTGCACAGTTATGTGACTATCAGTAGCCTCCAAAATGATTGCTGCGTTTTTTTAAAAGGGAAAAAAATTGTTCACAAATTTGGAATAGAAAACCAATATTGACAATCTTGAATGATAACATAGTCTGTTAAGTATATATTGGTTCTCAAATTTCAAAGACATGATTGTTTCAAGCGTTCTTTGAAAGCATTTTTTTTAAAACTCAGATCCCGGTCTAAACATGAAGCATAACTAACTCAAACATACAAAAGAAAAGCAGCTTATGAATAAATATATGGTTAGAGTAAATGGGTTTTCTACCTGAATTAGAATTCAATGATCAGACATAAATTTATAATCATCTCATTAGAAGACATCTTTGCAAGCCAATCTCTTGATTTTTTTAAAAAAAATTTAGTGACTTGAATAAATTACATAGAATTTTTATGATTAGTTATAAATGTACTATTTATTCCGAAAAAATTAACCTTCCTTTCAAATATATATATATATATATATATATATATATATATATATATATATTGCATACTCATCAAGTTTTACTGAGAGAAGATGTGAATAAAATTAAGCCAAAAAAATATTAATATGGTAAATAAATATTGATATTGTTATATGATAAATAGAATGTATATTGCAAAATAAAAGCTGTGAGCATTATTAAAACTTATAATTTACAAGGGTTTTAAGTATGTTTTATTGCATGAAATAACACTCTTAAACAGTTAGATATCATAAGACCTTATACTACATTTCTTCATTTCTACCTTCATAACTACTTTGAATATGCTTTTGTTTTCTTTGCTTCAACCTAGCCTCACTTTTTATGATCATATTACACCACTTGTGCTCATATGATGAAAATGGCAAATATCTTTACATACATGAACAACTTTACTCATTTGAGAAATTCAGAACTTGCATAAACAGTTGTCCCCTTTGTCAAAATTACCTCACTGTTTGACACTCCGAATGTTCATCAAGGCACATGTGTGAAAATACTTCTATATCAAGTTTTCATTATATAAAACTAAATTCATTGCCCACTATCTTCAGTCTTAATGTGAAAAAGAAGTATATCCACTCTCATACCTAAAGGAGATATTATATATTACCCATAACCATTATATTCGGAATGTCAAATGTATATGAAGTCAACAAATTTTCTACCTATCATCGTTCTTGTCAACTTGATGAATAAATAGGGTTGAATTTGATCAATTTTTATCACAAAACCATCATACAATTTTTTATTTGCTTCAGTGAATTTGTTTTCTTGTAAGAGAATAGCCGTTAGGCAAGGTATTGTAACCTTGTATGAATTCATCAAGCACAGCCTTTTTGAATCAAATGTGGAAAATAAATTCAAAAAAAACCCTAACTTTAAAAATATATGAGGAATTTATAAGAGATAATAATCTGAAACTTTTCTTCACTGCTTCAAAAGTAAAAATAATACAGTTTATATTAAAGTTATTATAAACCTCAATAACAAGCGGGGATAGCTCAGTTGGGAGAGCGTCAGACTGAAGATCTGAAGGTCGCGTGTTCGATCCACGCTCACCGCAAACCCTTTTCATTCTCCTTGTTTAACGTGTATCAACAGGATCGTAGTGTTTAATACTCAAAAGACGTTCTACGATGATCGTGAGAGTTCCAGGTATAAATATACATTTTGAAACTATTCAAGACAAAAATTTGGAAACTACATCGCGTGCTCCTTACAGGCAGTCAAGGAAATTTTGTTTTGTTTCAGATCTGTAATTTTCAATCTGATATCATCCAAGAGGTTTCATGTCTTGTGATGTACATGAAGTGCCATGTGACGCCTTTCCTGCGACATTGAGTATATTCCAGAAAAAGGGACGATTGTATTTTGACTTGTTAATATTATTCCCTATGCTGACTTTCGGACTCAGTTTCGAGAGTAAATCTTAGGTGTAATATTCTCTAATGTTGTCTTGCCCAATCATTGAATAGTTGGACTTTTGGTGGATTAATTCTTAGAATGATTTCGCCTTGCGCTGACCTCATTTGACCTAGTCTATCATAATTAGCGATCAAGTGAACCCTTTATTCCATGCAGTTAACTATGCTTCACTCGACCAAAGACTAAAAACGTTGAAAGCTTGTATAGACCTAAACCCTAAACCTTGTCTTAAAGTCTGTTTCAATTTTGCGGATATCATCCAAAGTCGCAACCACAAGTCGACAGCAACTGAAATTTTACAATATAATGTATCTCAAAATGCACATCAAAAATTTGACGGAGTACTCAACTTAAAAGACTGGAAGTTACAGTTGAATTGCTCTTTTTTCTTACACAATCAGCTACTCCAAAGGTCTAACTTTGGCGCTGGTTAGAGGAGAGGCATCCACCTATATTTGATAAACAAATTGTGTTCTGGAATCATATATTAAATATGTTATGGTTCATTTTCATGTTACATAGCTTTGAAACCAATTACCGAGTGATTTATCTTTTATATCAACCCTACGTTGTATATTATGTGCTAAACTGCTTCCAGCTTCTAAGATTACTCTTCTTTGCAGTTCACAAATGCGAGTTCTAAAATTGTGATTCATTGTACTAAGCCATTGCTCTGCTGAACCAATTACCGAGTAATATATCTTTTATATCAACCCTACGTTGCAAATTATGTGCTAAACTGCTTCCAGCTTCTAAGTTTAATCTTCTTTGAGGTACACAAATGCGAGTTCTAAAATTGTGATTTAGTGTACTAAGCCATTGCTCTGTTGAACCTGATAACCTTTCACATTCTTTTCATGGCGGTCAAGCTTCATTTATGGACTTGTTATTCCTGACTCAGTAGCCATGTTTGCATAACGTTCCCATGTGCTGAAAATGTGTTCAAGATGTAGGCTCAGGCAGAGGTCAAAATTTGTGATAAGTAGATTTGAAACCGTGATATTCTTGTCATGCCCTCGCTAAGACAGAAGACTCCACCCCGCTGAATGCTTTTCCTCACGTTATAATGCAGCAGAGCCCCATTCCCAGTTGTTCTTGATGAATTGACGCCACGTACAGTCCGCCTAAATGCACATTACTGTAGGATGATTAAGGTTACAAGAAGTCTTCAAAAGATTGCTCCTTTAGTACTCGCGTTTCATGCTGACGTTTATTTGTCTCGTAATGTTATCCAAAGAAAGTACTCTGGATAAAGTAGTATATCGTCCGCCCTTGCAGACAGATTCCTTGGTAGACATCAAAGTTTCATCGTTGTAAAACTGTCGACGGATACGAGAGTAGTGCAATCTGTAGTCGCAAAAGTCTATATTATTACCAGAAAAAACTTCTGTTAGAAGTCAGCGTCAGTTGCCTGAACTCAAGAACTTTCATCTCTTTTCATCGCTTGGGTCGTAGCCCAATATAATTACCTTTCTGATGAAACGACGCGCAAACAAGCGAATCCCGTCAACACCCTCCTGATTCAAGATTGCGATACCAATCATTGCCTTAGCTACAATTTCTGCTCCCGGAAACTGTTCGGAACGAATTCAATAACGGGCCGGCCAGTAGCTTTTGGTCACTACAACTTTTACAATGTCGGGGATGTAGCAAGGTCCCAAACCACTGTTTTCGTCAAGATACAACTTTGACTACCGTCTGTTCCACTTTGTATTGCAGCCTGCGTTGTCACAGTCTTCTGAGCTGGTAGCTGGAATTGGCTCAGCACAAAGACTCAGACTTGTATTCGACGAACATGAGGCTCTAAATTACAGCGCTAACACTAAGAATTGATGAAGGTTCTGAGATCTGGTGACTGATCAAATTTGAGGTTTTTGCCGAGTTACATCAGATATTACTTTTGCCTTGATATGTTCAAAGATCTGAGGTATTTTTATGTATCATGTATCTACTGTCGAGGCAGAAAAAGGACATTTGATGCTCAATTTTATATATATATATATATATATATATATATAAATAAATGCTCTGTATATCTACATCTACCTTACATTTGACTTGCATCAAACATTGAATTCATATGAAGGTCAGGTGACAAATGTTTGTCACTAGACTGAGCCGTAAATTGCTTCCAATCGCTTTTCCGCTCGGTAATATCGGATAGGATATCGAGTTCAGAAGGAGGTAATTTCTATGCGCTTCAGCATTGGAGTCAAGATCTTGGTCGGCCAGACCTAACTCTTCCCTTGATAGGTGTTTCGGGAAAAAGCT